ACTATAATCCTCACCCGTGGCGGTATAGTGACCACTAGATAAGCACAAAACCATTGAACATAGTCCTTCGAGGTGTTTCTTCGTATTTTGATGTTCAAAACACAACAACGTGGTTAGAAAAGAACTATAGGGACGAAAAGATAAGCATTTGGAGTGTTTTGAGGCTTACCCAAACCAAAAAGGTTACAAAATCATTCAAAGTCGCGTCGAGGAACTTTGTTCTCGTCGAAGCTTGGAGTTAGAGTCTCACGGCTCGGTTTTTCCTACGTAACAGGGCTCGAGTTCGAGCTCGTAAGGTCTATAGGGTGAAATGGGTGGTTTCTCTGGTGGTGCTTTCCCCCATGGCACCCTTCGGTACTTGCCGAGAGAGAAGGGAGAGAAGTAAGAGTGATAGAGATAAAGTGAAAAAGATAGTGAGACTCATAGGAGGGAAGAAAGAGAGAGAGACAAGGGAGAGGGTCGCGAACAAACTCCATAGGTGGGCCCCTTGGGCACACCTATTTAGGCCCTCAAAAACAATATTTTAAACCAATATCCTAACCCAACATGAAATTACAACATTACCCTTTCGTTCCGTAAAAAATTGGGACGGGTTGTTACACATGTACTCCTCAACTCTAGTGTGATAATCAATTAGCTATCTCTCTTGCCAAAAATCCTTTGTTTCATGCTAGAACAAAGCATGTAGAGATCAACTACCACAACATTCGAGAAAAGTTGTTATCGAAGGCCATCTCAGTCCATTTTATCTGCACTCAAAATCAAATTTCATATATATGCACAAAATCTCTTTCCAAAGACCGGTTTCAGCTCTTAAAATCCAAACTGTCCCTTTGAACTCCTCAGTTTAGTTTGAGGGGGGATGTTATGGATAGTATTGTTAAAGATTCAATTGGTGATAAAACTTAGAGCTAGTTTGTTTGTTTTGGTTGTTGTATTAGATTAGTAATTAGTTGAGATTGTTGTATAGGTCGCAAGGTGTTTAGAAGGTTAAAGTTATGTGAGAGTGTGTGTATATATATATACACATACCACAACATTGTAATTTTATTCTCTTAATCAATGAAATTCATTTTCTCAAACAAAATGCAGCCTCATCGACGAAAGGTTAAGGTGCTCATCAAGGTGAACGGCGCGAACGTTGCGAAATTAGCAGTGAAGAGGCCGACGACGAAGTCTGAGCTGCCGGTGGCACCAATGCAGAGAGCGGTGCTGCTGAGGCGCTTGAGGGCGAGCTAGCGCTTGCAGACGAGGGAGCATGCATCACAGCTGGGCTTGGAGTCGAGCCGCCGGAAGACCTCAGTGATCTACATAAACTATCCTCCGAATACTCTATCACCACGGAGACTATTAATCTGATTTACAAATTGAGGGCCAGGAGTCTGATGTCCATAAACTAGTGTCTTCGTCATGTCTTCTTTCTAACTTAGTGACACATGCTTCAACACCGTTAAATTAAACAGTGATAACACCAATTAAATAGTGTAATTGGGTAGTTGGAGAGTTAGGCACCTTTTGTTTTTCTTTTATTTTTTTTATTTGTTATATTAGTCTTTTGAAAAGATAGCACCGTTAAATTAAAAGTTAAGTTTATAGACCGCTGTTAAAAAGTTAGAGAGCAAACACAAATGAGACACTGAATTGGCGACAGCAAACTACAGCCGAATTTGACACGCCCCGATCCTGATATTACCCGAATACCAGGATAGACACGTGATGGCCGACACCCGAGGGTGACGAAAGCCATTAATTGATACAAAAGCTAAGAATAAGAAATAAATACGGGTTAGAAATTTAAAATACTAAGAGTTAAAAGGTTTAGGAACATGCTCAGAGCATACAACTAAACCTAATCACTAAGAAGAATTAAGATAAAATTTAATGAATAAAGGAGTGAGTCCTACATTCGAGACGATCTGAAGATGCTGCTGCGGAAGTGCCTTCACGCCGGGATTAAGTGCCTTAATCCTAAGTCCTGAATGGGGGCGCAAAACAAAGGTGAGTGGACCAAGTTTATATATACAATAATAATAAATTAGTTATCAACATACTAACCCCCAAAGTTTATATAAATGAAAACTACTAGCATAATAAGTGATGAATTTAATAAAAAACCTAGCATGCCAAATATCTCAAAAATCACATCGTGGAATATCATTGCAGAAATCAAAACAGTAAACGCATCATAAATCATCTCGTAAACGTGGTGTGCTGCTAGAAAGATCACTAAATAAATATAACTCTCGGCCCAATACCTGCTCCGTGGTCTCTGCGCCCGTAACCAGAGATTACCAACTCCCGGCCCAATGCTTGCTCCATGTCCCTCAGCCCGTAGCTAGGGATTATTTCTCCCGGCCTAAATGCCAACACCAGTTCCTCGCCCCAGACGGCATAGTGTCTGCTAGGTACGCACAAATAGTTACGCCTCTCATAAATAACCACTTCATAGTATAAAGTCATCCATTGTCTATACTATAAAGAGGGGTTTCTAAAACATGTTCTAGCATCCTATCGTCATCCATCAAATAGTCTACCAGTTCATGGTTTTTATAGAAAATACGATGTATTAAAATATAGCTCAAACTAGGCTAGCAATTTATTTCCTCACCAAAACACGAGACGAAATCAATAAATTCCAAAAACAGGCTTAACATAAATCAATTCATAAATCCGTAGGCATACTAATCATTTATGCAATTAAATTATAAAATCATGTAATTTTAGAAAGGGTCCACTCACAAATATTCTTTAGCAGATGAATCGCGTGAATAAGGATATAGAATTTCTCCACTAGCAACTTTACCTAAGCACAAAAATGTAATAGATAAATAAAAGGATTTTCTAAAAGATTGGGTTTGAATTAAATAAAATAGGGGATTTGGGATTGGATGGGTTTAGGGTTTTAAATGGGTTTTAGAAACCTAGGGTTTTTGGGTTAAAAGGGTATTAAGGTGAGAATTGGGGTTTGGGCTTAAGCCCAAACATATACACTCCCCAAACACACACACACCACCAAAACACAAAGGCCTTAAGGCCTTATTAAAAAGGACAGGGCTTTAAGCCCTTTAATATATAACCGGCCCAAGGCCAAATTATATAAGGCCCGAGCCCTTTTTGGGTTTTAAAAACCAATTAACAAAGCTTAAAAAAAACTAAAGGGGGCTAGGGTTTTGGGCTTAAGACAACACGGGCCTAAGGCCCGAGGGGAGGAAATGGGAAAGGCCGGATGGCCTGGTTTGCCGAGAGAGAAGGCCGGAGCTGCTACAGCTCCGGTCACTTGAAAACGAAAGCTTCGAGCTCCAATCTAGGTACAAACATGAAGAACCAAGAGAGAGAGAGATTTCTACCTTCCAAACACCGTAACTCGGTCGGAGGTGACCGGAAAAGCCTCCAAAGTCCATGGGTTCGCCGGAAAATGGGTGTGCTCACCCACAATGATTTCCGAAGCAAAATCTACGTAAAAATAGAAGGTTCAAGCTTCTAAATCATAACCAAACATTAAGCTAGGTACGAGAATGAGGGATTCGAGACTTACCCCCACTTAAAAAGGAAGAAAGCTCACCGGAGCTTTGCTCCGTGTCTTCGATCTCGCGGGCAGAGGGGTCCTAGGCTTGCTACAAGCCTCTCCTGAAGGTGCTAAGGTTCTAGTGAGTCCAGGGAGAGAGAGATGCGAGAGGTTGAGAGAGAGAGCTACAGGGAGAGTTGAGAGAGCTTTGGGAGAGAGAGACGAAGAAGAAGAAGGTCACGGGGGTGAGGGGACGTAGAGAGGGAAAATAGGGGAGGTTTAATGATTGACACGTGGCAGCTGGGGGTGGAAATAACAAATGGTGTAATTATTTGGGGGTGGTTGTAACAATCTACCCCCCTTAAAATAATTTCGTCCTCGAAATTTAAAATCACTTACTAGACTGAAAATATTCGAAAATAGGAAGAAGAATAATATACATATATGTAACGAAGATATTAGGTAAGAGCGGTTACACAAAAGGGAAAATGCCACGCCGTCGCAATTGGCTGCAATGATTCCATCTTTCGTGCCCCCAGGCTCATACTTTCTTTCCCCATCAGTGTAAAAGTAGAAAACATACTTTAATAAAATATAAAGTCGAAAACACAAAATAATTTAAGGTCAGATAACGTCAAAATAGATATGTACTAACATATAGATGAAAAGCTCGAATCAACTTAAAAATGAAAACAGAAATACTTTTCCAAAAACATTTATAACGACAAAAACAAATAACTAGAGGAAATGAAGTTAAAATACTTATACTGAAAACCAAAACTGAAAAATAAGAGTGGGTCTCGCCCAAGCACACGAAACGTCACGCACTTTGAGAACAGATGTGTCTTTGGGTTGAGTCCCAAGAATAACAATTCTGAATCTGCATCAGCTGCTGTAGGCGAATCTTCTTGCCCACTTGCCTAACGAACCCAACAAATAAGCTATCGATATACCGGTCGGCCGCCAATGCAAAGGGCAGTGCTGCTGAGGCGCTCGAGGGCAAGCTAGCGCTTGCAAACGAGGGAGCAGGCGTCACGGCTGGGCTTGGAGTAGAGCCGCTGGAAGAGCTCGGCAATCTTTTTACTACATAGACTTTCCTCCGAATACTCTATCACCACGGAGACTATTAATCTGATTTACAAATTGAGGCCCAAGAGTCTGATGTCCATAAACTAGTGTCTTCGTCATGTCTTCTTTCTAACTTAGTGACTCATGCTTCAACTTAATACCAATTCAACAGTGTTAACATTTGAAGAAAAAAACTAAAAATTAAAGAAAAACGACAGTATCCCCTAAAAAGATAACACCGTTAAATTAAACAGTGATAACACCAATTCAATAGTGTTATGGGGTAGGTGGAGAGTTAGGCACCTTTTGTTTTTCTTTTATTTCTTTTTATTTGTTATATTAGTCTTTTGAAAAGATAGCACCGTTAAATTAAAAGTTAAGTTTATAGACATCTGTTAAAAAGTTAAGAGAACATACACAATTAAGACACGGAATTGAAGACTGCAAACCGCGGCCGAATTTGGGAGCGTAAGTTCGTAAATTTGGGAGGGTGTGGAAATCGGTCGCACAAGAATCAAAATAAAAACCCCTCTCTGCCATCGCATTATCGCACGCAGCTGCACGAACAAAACGCAGAAAATACATTTTCTGCGCCGAGTCTGCCCCTTTCCCTCTCACTCACAGCGCTGCTTCTGCTTCGGTCTCTTCCTCTTCCTACTGCCTAGTCTACAACAAGGTAACCTCATTTCTAACTTTTTATTATTCAATTTCAGTTTTTATATTTTTTTTTAAATGAAAGAAGGATACTTTTTTTGCTTCGATTCTTATTTCGCTTTTGAATTTCAATTGGCATTTTCAGTAGGGCTAAATTTTTGAATGTATCCATGAGTTTTTTTTTTTTTTTTTAACAAGAAATAGCAATACCAGATGATGATGAGCTTTTGAGAATATGCTTAATTAGAGAGAATGTGTAATTGTGGAATCTTCTGATCTTGTTGTGTTGGTCTTTGTGTGTATCGTAGAACAAGGGTGAGGTCCATAATTGACATTGCACAAATGACGAACAAAACATCCAAAATCGGACAAGATTTGTTGGTGAATATCTGTCAACTCTGCCTCCGAAATCTCTGATGCGATTCAAGTGCGTCGCTAAATGGTGGCATGCTCTCATCAACGACCCCAGGTTCGTCGACAAGCACCTCTCCCATTCCTTGCTGGACGATCAGTCCACTCGTGTCCTTCTGAAGCGAATGTTAGTCCCTTCTACGGAGGACCCAAATGGGGACAAATTTCAATCCGTATTCTCAGTACTTACTTTTGACAATGTCATTGTTGATGATGACGATGGTGGTGTGCACAAGTGTAGCACTCTTTCTGGGATCGAGGACGTCAATATTCCTCTTTCTATGAGTCTGGAGATTGGAGATGATCAATCATTTCATGTTATAGGTCATTGTGATGGGATCATTTGTCTAGCTCGTCCTAATTCTACTAAGGTGCTTTTGTGGAATCCGGCAATTCAGGAATTCAGGGTCCTTCCCTCGGAGACATACAGTCCAGATTGGTTCGACGAAGCATCCTTTAGGGATCCTCATCCTTGGTGGTTGTCTATGCCTTACATGCCACTAACAGATCGGTTCGACGATGTTTTGGGATTAGGCTATGATCCTAAATCTAAAGATTACAAAGTTGTCAAAATTGGATTTTCTGGTTCAGAATTGCATGGCGGCACAGAACATTTGATTATTCATCCTCCCAAGGTAGTAGTGTATACCCTAGGAACTAATTCTTGGAGGGAGATCGAGCCTTATTCTTTAGAAACGGAAACTACTTTCCTTTGGCCTGAAACTTTTCAGGTGTACTTCAAGGGGATGTGTTATTGGATAGGAAGTGAGCAACAAAAGGAATTTGCCGATAGCTATGATGTCACCTATCCCGAGCAAGAAAAAATTAGGCGAGTGATCGTTTGGTTTGACATGAGTCGTGAGGTGTTTCATGACATACTGTTACCACATGAGATGGTAGAGTTCAACAATTTCGAAGGAATTGGTATTGAAATGCGTCTTAAGGTGTGGAATGAATCCATCGCTCTCTTTCGCTTGAATCGTAATACCTTTGAAGATGGTGATACACCACCCTTTGAATTGTGGCTAATGGATGATGATTCTGGTGGTGGTCCGAAAAATGCGGGTGGTGTTTGGACAAAACACTTTGCTGCCAAGATCCCATCATTCTCAAGGTCCGGCTTGCCCCTGTACTCCACATTGGCAATGTGGAAAAGCGACGAGGTTCTTACAGTAGAGGGAAATGGAGGCTTGCCAATGTGGAAAAGCGACGAGGTTCTTACAGTAGAGGAAAATGGAGGCATAGTCTGCTATAACTTCCGTACTAAGAAGCTTAAAAATCTTCCCATTCAAAGTGCTGTAAGGATCAATCCCATTTTTCCTCCGCAACCGTATTATTTGCCACTGTGCAAAGCAAATCATTCGCCCGTTGTATATGTGAAGAGTATGGTTTCGGTCACGGAAGGCAACAACAAGTACATGTGTACGTAGATATCGAAAGTAATGAAATCCTTTTGTTGTTCAAATTATGGATGTCTTTAAGAAACTTGGAGTCGATAAAAATTTACGAGTATATGAAGCAATACAACCAAGAAACGAAATGATGGCTACCCGCAGATATCCACCCTGCGGTGTTGCCTTTCAACGAAGAAGATGAGATACTCAAACAATGTTCGAAATTAAGTGTATTGTAAGTTGTACGTTTTTACAAGATGAGATACGCAAGCAATGCCTAAATCGTTTCTGTATTTTTTCGTTCGGAACCATGTTTAGCTAGCGTTGTCCTGAATGGATTTTTGAAACAGAATTATAATCTAAAATTTGGACTACTAGCTAGCTTAGGGTTTGAATCTGATATATGATGAACCACTTTATATAATTGGGTTGATGATGAATCGTCCACTACACAGTTACTACCCTTTATAGCATGAGAACGCATTGCCGTGGGCAACAAGAAAGATGCATTCCCTAATTCCGAATGTGTTCACACTCACTTGACCTTAATTATTATCACCTTTGCTAGCTAGCTTCAACTTAATCTTTCTCTACACTCTACACTTGACCTCAATTCTAACAATTTGTATGTTGTATATTTGATCATGTTTGATTAATGAATTAACTAAACAGAAGGCATGTTGTGTTAACAATCTGCAAATGTGAAGCAATACAACCATGAAATGAAATGATGAGTACCCGCAGATATCCACCCTGCGGTGTCGCCTTGCAGCGACGAAGCGCGGGTGTCTATAGGACAATATGATTTCCCCGGTCCGAAGGCTAGCTCCAGGGTGAGTAGCAGCAAATTGAAATAGCTATTTACTTAATCCACAAGTTAATTAATTATCTGCAACCGGGATAAGTAAGTTGAATAGAAACCATGAAGAGGAGAGGAGAGCTCCAAAATTTCAAAGATAAGAATTACCACTGCTAGAAGGTAGTGGTTGAAACTTCAATTTACAAGATAAGATACATAAACAATGTCCAAATCGTTTCTGTTTATATTCGATTGGAACCATATTTAGCTAGCGTGGTCCTGAATGGCTTTCTGAAATAGAATTATAATCTAAAAATTGAGACTATTAGCTTGCTTGGGGTCTGAATCTGATATATGAGGAACCGCTATAATTGGGTTGATTGGGTTGTTGATGAATCAACCACTACACGGTTACCACCCTTTATAGCATGCATATGAGAATGCAAAGCCTTGCATAACAAGAAAGAGGCATTCCCTAGTTCAGGATCTGTTCACACTTACTTGACCTTAATTATTATCATCTTTGCTAGTTAGCTTCACCTTAATTAATTTCTCCAAACCCTACCCTTAACCTCAACTCTAACTATTTAAACACCTCTTCATTTCTTTGAAAATTCACACTTCATTCACTCTTTAGCTTTCCTTGTTATTTCTCATCCCATCCTCCCTCCCTCCCTTTGTTCTTTTGATAATTGGTTGACAACCATGCACTTCTTCAAGATTGTTCTGTTGGATTTTGTGGCTCAATACTTCTTGGGCCTTTAGTTTTTTGTCTCAAACCCAAATAGGTTTGGCCTTTTGTTACCCATTTGAAAGCCACATGGCAGCTAGGGTTTAATTAAAAGGCACCAGCCTTATATAAGGCAATTCATGCCTTTTGGTCAGTAAAGAGAGCAGAAACTCAGCGGCAGCAGATAGCAGAAAAAAAGAGAGCAGAAACTCAGCGGCAGCATATAGCAGAAAACAGAGAGCAGCCGATAGAGAAGAAAATTGAGTGCTGCTGTTTTACTGTTCTCCATTTGTGCAATCATTCATTCAAAGATATATTGCTACATTTTGTGGCTTTTGGGAGAGAAGGATTTGGTATGTGTTTCTTCTTCTCTATTTGTTCTTTATATGAGTGAAAGCTATTGGGTGTATGTGGGATTTGGGTTTGAGTGTTGAACTCTATTTGTAATCTCCTTTTGATATTAGTGGAATTTCCTCGCCGTCTCGGAACTGGACGTAGGCTTACGCCGAACCAGTATAAATCCTTGTGTTATTTAGATTATTTGTCTTATCATATTTTGCCATTGTAGTTTATCATATTTTGCCGTTGTAGTTTATTGGTTTCACATTTGACGCTTCCGCACAACATGTTCTCGTTGTCATCGCTCTTTGCTTCGTCACTTATGTCGGAAAGAGCAATGCTGCCACACCATATGATATCTTCCAATACGTCTTCTGCCTTGGGAATGGAATTTGTGGAAACCAACAAGTTCTACGGCATACCTTTACGACACACGGCCTCTGGCCGAGCAACTTTACCGATCCATCTGCACCTATACTCTGCGCTGGCACCCTATTCAACAGAAATCAGGTACACATTGAATATATATACTCATTTCAGTTTGTTTTTTTTCTCCTGCAGCTCTCTGAAATGCTTGTAACTTCTCGTCTTTGTGCTTCAGATGATTGCTGATCATAATCTGCAATTACTTTTGTCCAATTCCTGGCCCAGCTTCAACAATAGACGGACAAATATGGATTTCTGGGCGCAAGAGTACAACAAGCACGGCAGGTGCTCGGACAATAAATTTTCCCAGACACAATACTTCCACGAAGCTCATAGATTATGGTTGACCTACAATGCACAACATCTATTTTCTCAAACAACTGGGATTGTACCAGGATATCAATATCATTACATCGACCTTGAATCGGCCATTCGACGGACTATAGGAGGGAAAACACCTCTTCTTATGTGCAAGAAGGACGGGGGGATCGCGTATCTGCAGGAAGTCGTCATCTGTTTTGACTACAACGCAGCGAATCCGGTCGATTGTGTCAGGACAACAAATTGTGGGGCATTGGTATCGTATTCACTCTAATAGGTATATATAGTGGCTACATATATCTATATTAATGTAATAAGAACAACAATATAATGATGATTTCGAATTTATCGATCTCACCATTTCATATCCTAAGTAAATGTTATGTAGTACGTACATGACCTGATGAATTCTGATTATGGTAATTTGCAGTGCAATTTGTTTGGGGTAGTAAATTCGAAAGTTTGATTCTAATTTGTTTTAAAAGCCTTTCAAAATCCGTCAAAATTAACAAGACCATGAAATTCCGAAGTTAAAACATGATCAAATATGCGGCAGACAAAGTTTTACTGACACCAAATTGCTATGCATCCTGCAAATATATAATATAATTGGCACAATATTACAAATGTTTTGGTAAGAAATTTACATTATTCACAGAAACAACAGGTGATGATAATCTCTATGAGATGGAGGTGGAACCCCTGGCCTGGAATTTAATGGAGAATACAATGAACGGGAAGTTGTTGAAGGTTTTTTGTACGGAGGTAGTAGCGAACCTCATCGTTCCGTCCAAACTCCGAATGACTTATGGACGGGGTGCATTGTGAGCTCGGGAGCTAAGGATTTTGTCGAAACGCCACCCTTTTAAGCAGTACCACCATAACATCAGTGAACTGGTAACACCATGTGACAGTATAAAAGTCACTTCCAACAATTTC